GGGACGAAACCCCAGAAACAGTGCCCAGACGAAGGAAAGAGGAGAAGGCGAGATGAGGTGCCAGGTGCCCAGAGTTTCCTCTTGATCTCGTACAGGCGTGAGACCACGCCCAGCCTCAGATATAACATGAGTGGCCACCGGTGACCCGTCTCAACAGTCAAACTGAAGAAGGCAAAGTCACAAGCCGTGGTGAACAAGACTGCGTCCTTTAAACAGACTTTATAACTCAAACGGGTGCTGAGAAGAACACCTCTCTCTGCTTTGTCCTGGTTGTTACCACACAGTTATTGTGTTACAGTCTATTGTCTTGTCTTCTATTTATATACTGCACCTGAGAGACTAATGAGAAACACTTGTCACTATACTATGCACCCGTGGAAGGATCACGACAGATAAATCGAATGAATTGAATTGTGGGGCTCACATCCCGCGACGCTGCGACACAGGGCCACAGGGATCCCGCGGGTGAGCCTAGGCAGCGGTCTGGAGACGCACGCCCTCGCCAGGGCCCCCCCGTCAGGCCCTCGCCGCTCGTGGCGCAGCAGGCCTGCACGTGCCAGTCCTGCCCGCTCCGCTTGTCCAGCCCCAGGGCGTCCGCCAGCCGGGCGGGGCCCCGGGCCCCCGGCAGGTCCTGCTTGTTGGCCAGCACCACGAAGGGCACCCCGCTCATCTCCGCGTGGGCCAGGATGGCCTCCAGCTCCTCGCGGGCCTCGGCGAGGCGCGGGCCGTCCACGGAGTCCACCACGAACAGCAGCCCCTGGGCGCCCCTGTAGTAGTGCCGCCACAGCGCCCGGATCTGCTGCTGGCCGCCCGCGTCCCACACCGTGAAGGACACACCGCGCACCGGCGCCACCGGCTCCACGTTGAAGCCGATGGTGGGGATGGTGCAGACGGCCTCGTTCAGCTTCAGCTTGTACAGGACGGTGGTCTTCCCCGCGCCGTCCAGCCCCAGCAGCAGGACGCGAGCCTGCAGGCCGGGCAGCGCCTGGTAGAGCTGGCTGAAGATCAGGCCCATGCTGCCTCCCGGCTCGCTGCTCGCTCTTGCTGTTCTCTAATCT